ACGGCCCTTGGGCTGGCGGGGAGGCGGACGGCGCCCGAGCTGCGGGGTTGTGAGACCCACCCGAGAAATGGCCGGAGGTGCCGGGCGTGGGGCCGGCTGGGAACCGGCATCCCCCGGGGGCTCGCCTCGGGCGCGGGGGGCGGGTAAAGCCGGCCGGGAGCCGTGGCTCTTCGCAGAGGCCGGAGGCTGGACGGGCCGGGCAGAGGCCTGCGGTGGCGGCAGAGCGACCGCTCGTGAGGGGGGACCCCCCCTCGGCCGCCTTTCGGGGCCGCCTCGGCCCCCGCTGCTGCCCACGAAGTGGGACACGGGACACGGCGCTGGCACGTCGGTGGGTCCTTCCCAGCCCCAAACCCTGAGGGGAGACGGGGAGAAAAGGAGACTCCGAACGGCTGTCACTGCGGGATAAGGCTGGATGTTCCGCCAGAGAGGTTTTGGGCTCCAGAGCTGATGGCTTATTTCTCTTATCTGTGCTGTGTTTCGGTATGAGGGCAACCTCAGACTTAACTGTCTTCACCCTCGTTTCTTCCGTGCTCATGTCTTTCTTTTTCGACCACTTTGGAGTGTTGGGAACTACCTCACTCTTAGGTTAAGTTCTGGATGATGTAACTAAAATTCAGAGTTCTTGTTAGCGAAGTAGCTTTGTGATAACCAGCTCAATGTCACAGGCTTTCTAGTCTTCAGCTCTGCTCCCAGCCTGCTTTCCATGGAGCGCAACTTTTTTGGAACAGCTTCGTGGGTCCTGGGCTCTACTCCCCTGACAGCTGGTTGTTGGGCTTGGGGTTTTTTTTGTTAAATTCCTGACATTTCTTTTTTCAGGTCTATTCTCAAATATCTGGTTATGGCGAGGTGTTGCTGGAGTCCTTACTGCTGCCGTCATTTTGATTTTGTGTATTCAGTTTGGTAAGTGTGTAAATAATTTTAAAAGAAAATATAGTTAGCCTTAGAAATTACCATAGTTTTGGGTTGTCAGAAGTCCCTCAAAACCTCAAAAGGCTTATTCAAAGCTTACCTTATCTCAAAGTTAAATAGATGTCTCATGACACATTGTTTAAAATTGTGAGCAAGTGCTGGAGAAATTACTCCACTAGTTGCAGTGGCATTAGGGAGTGCTTGGTTTAGTCTTGGTGTACTTCTGGCATTCAAGTTTATAACCTCACTGTTGGTCTTAATCCAAGTTCAAGAAAACAAACAACAAATGGAAGATTGTTCTTTGCAACTAATCTTCTAATCAGTCCTTCAAAAAAATGGCATATATAAAATAAACAAAGCTATTAACTCATCTGCAAGGAAGCAACACATGCAAAAACTATAGTTGTCAGAAATATATAAGTTGTAGAAGAATCCTTGGAGGATACGTTATTATCACCTTCTCAGCTACTTCTGCCAGCCTGCCCCTGATTGTCACTTTAAAGGTATGTCAGCAACTATAAGGGTGCAGGAGCCAGAGTATATAATTAGTTTACAGTAATTATTTCTGCTGGGCAGGAGTAATAATGCTATGGCCAGACTTTGATGATTTTGATGATGCAGTCAGAAAGCAAGCTAAAAAGCTCAAGAAACCTTTTCCAGCTGGAAGAAATAGGTAGATTGCTTTTTATCTTTTCGCAGTAAACCGTTCCTCGGCCAAAGATTTTCCTGTCTGTCCCTCCCTGGAACTCTGTCCATCAGGTTGGCTGTATTTCCAGAGGAAATGCTACTACCTCTCAGAGAGCGAAGCCAACTGGAACTCCAGTCAGAGCCTCTGCTCTTTGTACAACGCTTCCCTCCTGGTGATAGAAAATGATCAGGAACTGGTAAGGGAACAAAGGGGGGTCCTGGTTTCACCCCATCTCACTTCTAGGGAGCTGCACAATGAACCAGTGTGTTCTTCCAGCCTCTTAAGCTGAATGGTTTGGAAGCTGATGCAAAGACCGTGACGAGTCACAGCTTGCAGAAAGCTGCGTGCCTCCTCTCCCTGCAAACAGCAAACATCAGTTTTAGCAGTTGACGTTTTTGAAAACGCCCGAGGCCTATCTGAGTTAAATTTGGTGCTGCTCACAGCTATAAATACTCACACTGAAGGCAACTACCAGGGTAAACACTGTTGCATCTCATTTATCTTTAATCAGACAACGGTTCTCTCTTAGCAAGGTAGGCTAATGACAACCAAGTTGGTAGATATGTTAGTCTTGACCTTTGGAATCAGGAGATGATTATCCTAACCACAGCTTTTCTGTATTATACTACAGTGTTAAGAAAGATTCCACCTAGTGCAAAGACCTAGGAGAATATATTCTTCCACACCTGTTAGAGACCTTGATATTTTAAAACAGCCTCTTTCTAGGTCAGTCAGCCCTATCACAGACACCAGTATAATGGGTGTACTGGGTGCAGATGTCTGTTCTGTTGCACACACTGGGGTAAGGGTCTTCCTTAACTAATCCCTAAAATGTCTTCCACAAGTCCTTGCTAGCTCATAAGAAAAACTCAGTGCGATGAAGACATATCAGCGATGGAGAAATGCGTTAGCTGCAAAGGCATTCATCGTTCTTTGAAGACTTTCTTGTGGAGAGGCAGTAGAATGATGCATTCGCAGTTCCATAGCAGTTCTTAATATTCAGTAGTATATTTGCGTTCTCATAGTTGGCATTTCTGTCACTACAATATCTTGAGTGCTGCAGGGATCCTGTCTCAGAATGAGTCCATTTGATTTCTGATCGAGTTGTAAGTTCTCTTTCAGTTATGTGGATCACACAAGATCCAGATGCTGCAGTACTCTGTAGATTTAATTTTTAATCTTGTTTCTTCTGGGAGAAAGGCAAGATCATTGTTTTGCTTTCTAGCCCTGGATCAAAGACTTTGTATTTTGATAACTGCACTGAACATGCAAAATTTCTTTTCTCATACGGGTTTATTCCTACAGAGTTTTATGGTGAAGATAACAAAGCAAGACCCGTGGATTGGACTCTATAAAAGAAATGAAGAGTTCTTTTGGGTAAATGGGAAAGCATTAGACAATAAACTGTAAGTCGATGTTGAGGGGTTTTGCTGGTGATACTAGATTATAGGGGAGTAAGAAAGGATAACTAATACAGATCTAGACAGTGACTTGAAAGAAGTATCTGTAACAATGTTGAAGGGATGACTGTGGAGAGAGCATGGAATACAGTGAAGATTTCACATAGCATTGTTAAAACTGACGGGCGAAAGTTAGGAGGTAAATCCGCAGTGCCAGGTTCTGAAGCAGTATGAGACAGGAGCTCATGGTAACAGACAGTATAGCAAAGTGAAAGCTAAACAAGAGATCATCAAGATACCAAAGCAATGGGGGGAGGAATGGAAGATTACAATAACACAAATTCCTCATTATAGAATATATTTTGCAAAAGTGCAAACCTGCATGCAACCTGCATGAGGTTTATAGCAAAGATATTTGGAAGGCTTCTAAGAGGTGTTTTCATACTTCTTATAGAATATGCCTACAAAAAAGGCTGCTGGAGGGAAAGGTGAAGCTGCAAATTTATGTTGCAAGAGCTGTTCTGTGCTCGTGGCCCTGTGTTCTATCCCACCGGTGTCAAGTGTGGGACAGTTTGTTCCTCCCACCAACAGCTGTCCCATCTTCTCAGAGACTGCTTCTTCTTGTCCTGGGGCAGCTGCCAGCAGGAACTGGTAGAATTACCAGTGACAATAATAAGCATTGAGATTTCACAAGGCTGAAATTAATGTAAGAAGTGGAAAATTTAAATACTCTTAAGTTTGTGACATTAACTAGTGGTGCGTGACTCTATTCAGTTCATCCCAAAGACTTGAGGGCTTGATCTGATAAAGACCTTGCGTATTTAATGAGATGTGAGCAGCACGTAGGGATCTCAAGTTGAAAACTGCAGTCCTTCCTGCTCTTGCTTATCCCCTGACTGCGGTACAGACATCCACTGATGCTTTTATTTTCAGTGATGAAGTTCTTCATATTCTTAGACTTCTGCCTCTGTGCTTCCTCAAACTGCCCCTCCTGTCCTTAGAAGGGTGAACACCTTGATGTCTAAGCTCAGTTGCTGTTAGAGTCCTGTGAACCCTGGTGGGGATTTGTCCCTTGGCTTTTCCAGAGACCGTACTGGTTCAGTTGGCCTATTCACAGAATGCTGTAACACTTTATTTGAAAACAGAGTTGGCAAAGGAGACCCTTACCTCTTACATAGGGACACCTATGGTGTGGAAACTGAGGATCGCTTCCTGTTTCCCACCACCCCCTTAACCATAGTGCCGTGTTCGGTGCTGAGGAAGAGGGAAATGAGAGAGGCATTTGTTTCACAGCTTCTGTTGGAACATTTTAGCTGTATAGAAGGATGTGGAAGTCAAACGCAGAGCTAGTCTTGATCGCGTGGCATCCTTGAGAAGGGCAAACCTGAATTCCAGTCTCCGCTCTAAAGGGCGTATTTCACATGAAGGAGCACTAGACAAGATGCTGGCGTACTGCGAGTCCTAGATTTTGTGTTCTGGGGGCCAGGTCCCATTAAAAAAAGACAACCTTTGTGATGTTCTCTTCAAAGCGCAAGCTATCATCTTCCTACAATGCCTTGCCTGTGGTAAATCAGACTTTGTACAAAGAGAACCTGTGATCCCTGTATTTCCCTTTGCTCTATTGCATTATTTGATTGTGGGTGTCGAAGTAATCATGTCTTTCATTCTCCCTTACAGGATTGAAGTAAAAGGCTCTGGAAACTGTGCCTATCTTGAGTCAAAAGGAGTCTCGGCCTCTGGATGTTATTTAACCAGGAAGTGGGTCTGTAGCTTGAATATTAGCTTAGCACAATAAAGGTGGCCAAAGCCACCACCCCTGACACTTAGCGCTCTGATCCGATGTCTGCACAGGCTATGGCTATACACTGAGACCTGGGAATGCGTCTCAGCTCCTGCCTGGAGGTGAATGACTTTTCTGGTAGCCAGAATTCTCCACCTGTGGAGGAAGCCTCTGTTTTTTGAAGATACCATTTAAAAGGCTTGCTTCAGCATCTTGATAAGTCATTTCCTTGCCCCATTTTTCTAGCTGCTGCTCAGGCTGCAGTTTCTTTTTGTTGTGTATTTCTTCCATTAACTCTTCTTTTGTAGGATCCTAAGCAGCTGGTCTTTCTTTTCCCTCTTGGTGTGCAGTTGGAGGTATTTGTTCTGCTTTTCCCTTAGCCAAGATCTGTGTGCAGGTGTGAGTTGTGAAGTGGGTCTGCCTGAAGGTTAGCCAGTGCCTCTCAGATACAGAGTGATGCTGAAATAAGCACCGTTCTTTTAGACAGGATCATTGCAGATTTCACTCTTCTGGTTTGATGGGATATGTCTTGTGTGACTTCTGCATTGTATCCAGTGTTTTCATACTGTTATTTTACATGAATCTTGTTAAATTAACTTGACAGTATTATCATTGGGATTTATGTAGCTGCACTGCACCTCAAGTTCTCCTTTCCACAGGACTTAGCAAAAAAAAGTCAGAATAGATAGAGTATTTATTGGCCTGAGGATCTGCACTGATGGGGAAAGCGTTTGAACAGAAAAAGTAATAGCAAAGCTGCAGACACTAATGTTGTAAAGTTAGAAATAGTCCTCAGTGCAAATAGGCAAAATCATGAGTAGAGAATAAGAGAATTAACAGCAAAGGATGTTTCTCCATGGTTTCCTCATGTCCTGTGCCTGTCAGAGCGTGAGGCTTCCGAGCAAGTGGTACATTTCTGGATGCACAATCGGTGTTTTCTTCCATGTGTGACAGCAACACCCAGTGCTGTTGGATTGCTATTAGCCTGAACAGAATTAGGGGGCAATGCAGCTGAACTCTGTCCACTCATGTCTAGCAGGTAACCTGGAGATTAAAGTGCCATTTGACCCAGAGGAAGCAAAGCGGCTTATTTTCCTGGAAGGGCTGTTGGAAATTCGCATGTGTAACAGGGCAAAATACTTCTCTGCTCGGAATAAAATCTGGAAAATTAGTTTTCTTGTGATCTGGGTGCTACAGAGCAGCCTATGGACTCCGTGGGACTTCTTGAAGGAGCAAGTGGAGCCATTTTTGGAGCAGTCACTAGAGTGCACTGTAGTTCCAGGAAAGGGAAGAGAACCGTGTCTTCTCATTTTTTAAGAATGTAAAATTGCACCATGTTTGACAGGTTATTTGGAGTGTTGTTGGTTCGTTAGGGTTTTTTGTCCTATTTGTAATTATTTTTGCCTTCACTGTGTTTTTATGCAAATTTAATTGCTGTCTAGTTTTGTTCAGCACCTTGTTTATGCCTTCATTATTTTCTGTGACAATAGGACTTTTCTGTAACAGGACCGTGCAGTATGGATATTGTTAACAACTTGTGACTTTAAGACTTTTATTTGCATAGGAGCACTAATTTTGCTGAACTACACTTTTTTTTTAATTGCTTGTATTCTTTATAGGCACAGTAACAGGACTCTACAGTATGAATAGCCTAATAATCTATGTGTTAATTTATATGTAACTAGTTGTGGGGGGAGATTATTCTGCATTGTTTTTAAATTAACTGGCTCTGAAGGATATGGTTATGTGCAATAGTCCTGAAAAGATACTCACTAAATACCTTTACAGAGCCTCTGAATTGCAGTGGTTTGTGTCTTAATATTGTCCCATTAAAAGTGTTTTTCAGCTCGGGCCCCATTTGGGGGGCGGGGGGAATAATCACCAGACCGAAGCAAAATAAAATTTTCAGGTTTCAAATATGAAAAGATCTTTAATCATAATGTTGGAGTTGACATGAGACAAGACATTTGACCCAAAAAAGAATACACTTCACTTTCTAACACTTCTGACACATTTTCACACTTCAAAATGTGTCAGACTTTTAAAAAAAGCGTTTAACTGAAACGCTGAAGTACTTCCGTAGAAATGCTGAAATGCACGTAATGAAACACACAATACAGTAACTTTGGAGGGAAACGTGGAATTCTCCACAGTTCACTTTTGCAAAGTTTTCCAAGTATTTGCATTAGATTAGAATTACTAGAGGTACATTCCACAAATTTGGTAGAAATGGTAAGGGGTAAGGAGTATTTGCGTACTGTGTTGTGTCTTAGTGTTTCTTAATGAGCCAATTTACCTGATTGTTTCCTTTAACTACAAAATAACGTCGCTCTTAGGGGTTTTTTCCATCAGTGTCATCTATGGATAGAGTCCAAAACTGGGAAATTTTTGTTCTTAAAGGAGGTTTTGGAGAAACTGTGAGCACAGTAGATTATAATGAAAGTTCTTTTGTAATCTGACTCTTAAGGGGTGCAATTAGCAGCTTCTTTAGTATCCAGAGTCTGTCATGCTAAGAAATGGTCAAGCTGTGAACCCACTTTGCTTGGAGCAGGGTTTGATGAAGTACTTCACTTCCATGGCCATTTCTTTTTTCTTTTTTCTTTTTTTTTAAATCGGTGGAATTGCTCAAGATTTAGTGGCTGCTTAAAATGTAGGTGAGAGCTTCAGTAAGGCCCTGCAAAAACATGTTTAATTATATTAGTAATAGTGAGAATGCTCAAATACTAGATGTTTCACGAATATTGTTAAAACCTAAACACCACAACCAATTTTAGAGAAGACAACTCAGGAGTTTAAGTTTTTCTTGTTAAATTTGGCGTGGCTCTAGAAACATCTGCCATAAAAACAGCAATTCAGCAGTCATCTCCAATGCATGGAGAAGGGTATGCTTTAAGTACCCTGAAGTTACATTTTCTCAATGGTGAATATATATCTATATAAAAATATAGATATTATAGAGATATGAAGATACATATATTATAGATATAGATATAGACAGATTTATCTTACTCATTTCATACTCTTTGCTTCTCTGCGTAGAATAAACAAAGCAATCCTCTTCCCTACACGCGTGCTGCACTGAGTTTGGGGGATTTTTTTGGTTATTGTTTTTCTAACATGAGAATAACAGCAGTTTCTCAAATGAGTTTTTGGCTGCTGATGCCACATTCTGTAGCGTAAATCTGTGTTGTTTTTTTGTTCGAAAGGAAGTCAGCCATGCTGAAGGTACGGTTCACTTTTTCATCTGTAGCCCCAAAGTCCCGAAGAGCTATCGTGCTTGTGGCTGCGGAATGCAGCAGGCTGCGTCCCGTGCTTGGTGTCTCCTTCCACTGAAGACCTCTCTGCCTTTTCAACTCTCACTTACACATACCTACTACTTTCCTGGCATCTCTGTCAACCATTAAGTGAGGAGTTACCCGTCAGTGTCCGTAGGTGGAGGGCTGTCAGTCTGTTGGTGTTACCGGGTTGCTCATGAGCATTTTGTTCCACAGCTGCAGTCATGTGCGCGCTGAAGCTGTGGTACTTTACGCCAAGAGCTCCTGTGCAAGTGTTATCTGTTGGTTACTCATCACGAGTTGCTAGATGTTAACCACAGCTCTCCATAGGGTCAGTAGTTATCTAGTGCAGGTATGAGACAATGTACCTGGGAAACTGCAGCTGCCTTTAATTATGTGTATTATAGCAAAGATGAGCTAAAGGCTCTACATTTCAAAAGCCACGTTGGACTTGTTGCTCTCTCTCATTGCTTTAATGAGAGGACTTTAATTCCAGTCTGTGCATTTTTTGTTAGAGTAGTAGCTTGGATTTTAATGTTAGGGGGTTTTTTGTTTTTTGTTTTTGTTTTGTTTTTTTCTCCAAACATAGCTAACCCCACATGGCTAGAGTAAAAGTACATTAAATTATAGTAAAACTCTGGGAACTTAGAATCTTCCCCTGATTGGCCCCGAAAGAGCCTTGAGGTCCCTTCTGCTATAAATTATTGCATAATTCTATGAAATGAGGTAAGAATTCAGCTGCTTATTGTGGAAAGCATAACACAGTAGAGTTAACTTCAGGGGCATTTGAAGAGATCCTGCCTGAAATTGAATTATGGCGGGTAAAATGAAAATTTACTTAAGCAACCCTGTCTGTAAGCACGGAGAAGTAGATTTTACACCTTTGCAAGACAGCAGTATGTAAGTATGAGAGTGCCTCAGCTGCTCTGCCCCTCAGCCTGAGGATACGAGACTAGAGATTCACAGTTTAGAAAGGGGACTAACCTTTGAGCTTTCTGAATATTAGCTTTCGCGTCAGAAGTGTTTGATACTTTTTTCAAAGAAGAAGTTGGTTCAGTTACCAGTTGAATTGTCCCACCTGTCGTGTAGGTAGGACTGAGCTGTCCCATCCAGGAGATGGGACGGGGCTGAGGCAGGTACGTCTTGAAGAGAGCTCACGCAGAGGCTGAAGACCCAGAGAGCCTCAGGAGAGGCTGGTGAGGACCCTTAAGGCCTATTAGAGCACTCAGGGCCCTGGCAATACCCAAGAGGAGGTATGTGATTCACAAACAGGAGGAAAACATTATTGTTACATCTCCGCTTCCATTGTCCCCTATGCTATTTTTTTTTAATTTCCCTCTTTACACGTGACTTAATTTCCTCACTGTTGCAACACAAGTCGCCGGAAATATCTCAACAATGGTGCAAATATCTGCCTTGCATTTCGTCACTCTGATTGCAAAGGCACATGCTAGCTACAGATCTAGAGGAGTTATTACCTTTATTAGACCAAGGTGTTTTTAAAAGTTACTACCTTTATTAGACTAAGGTGTTTTAAAAGCACAAATGAAATGTCTGATTTCTTAAAAAACAGGTCATGACATTTGTTCATTTTTTTTCAAATATATGAATCTAATTAAGGCACTAAGTCAGACTGCTCTTAGCATTTTTGTATTCTAGATCCAGAAATAGCATGTACCCATGACACTTGAATGCCCAAGTAATGTATTTATTGAGTACACCCACAGGCATTAATTTCATCACCTGTTAGCTTCAGTACCGCTTCATCATAACTTCCAGGCAGTAGCTATGGTTCCACATTAAAGAATTTGCAATGTAAAGGGACAAAATTTAAGTGGAAAGGCAGGCTATCATCTTCATTTCCTTGCACTGCAATGCTGTCTTATGGTCCAAGCCCTTTCCCTAGTTAAGAGCTTTCTTTCAGATCCAAAGGTTCAGCATCAGAAGAAGATGGGAGCCAGCAGCTTATTAACCACAAGTGTTATGAGTCACTTCATGCCTGGTTTGGTGTCTGTATACCCAGTAGCTGTGCAGATCAGCTCTGAATAAGTAGAAGACACTAATAAATGCATTTTTCCCAGCCGTCGAGTAGCTTCTGTAAGTTACAATTAGGCTGTAAGGAAAAAACCCCACAAACTTCAGAAAACACTAAAATACTGAAACCCAAATAAACAGTGCCTCAGTCAGCGGCTGCCTGAGGGGATCTATATGACAGCAGTGGGCTCTGACACACTCTTCAGCCCCCGCAGATGGCATCTTTCCTGCACATCACACGGTTCATGTGCACAGTGGTCATCCCCATAGGAGTACCTCTTCTCCCCTGCCCTTTCCTCAAGGCAGCTGCAGCCAACGTCTGTCCGTGGGGAGGCTCAGCACCCCTAAATCCACATGTGCTGACTTGCAGTCCTATTGTGTGACCTTCACGCTGATGCCTGGCAACTTCAGAGTTCCCTGTTTGCATCAGACAAAGCCTTAGGGAGCACAGATCGGCGAAATGCAAATTTCTGTGCAAGTCTCATAAAAATATTTACATCACATGTTGTTTTATCAGTAAAATGGGTCTTCCGACAAAAAGCTCTGCCTGTTGTCCGACAATTTGGCTCAGAGCACCAACAGAGTTGCGTTCTTCTTACAGATCCACTTCTTTAAAGTCTGGCAGTTATCTCTTTGGATCATGTTTTTTCTTCTGTAAACAGCACAGTTCTTGTCATGCTCAATTCTATTTATAGCTATCCTGGTGAGAGAACAAAAGGAATGCAATGAGTAGTCAGCTTTAAATTCAGTACTTGATAAAAACATTGATAATATCCTGAGTGAGGGGTTTTGGTGATGCCCATTCAGTAACCCACTGAAGTACAGTTCCTCAACAGCCATGCACAGGTGGGATGGGTACCCACAGCAGAGACTGCTGGCTGCTGAGGGACGGATGCTCAGGAATATTAGTGTAAGAAGGATGAGAAAACCTCCACGTGCAGCCACAACGCTGAACTGTAATGGTAAGAGGGAGGGGAAGGACCCTTCAGCTGCACAGATCCCAGCATCCATGCTATGTGACAGGCATCACATTCAATGGAGGCAGTCAACACATGGTCTGTAAAGTGAGAGTTTGTTGACAGTGATTTTAGGGGGAGAAGTGTGTATTAATGTCCCTCTGCATTAATGCATACCTGAACTCTGACTGTTGTTGGTCTTGCAGGCAGAAAACAAATCTGTTTTCAAAGGTTCCCAGTAGGAAACAGTTAACCTGGAACTGGCCATGAAATAGACCCTGAATGGGTGCCTGAGGCTGCAGGACTAGATCTGTGCTTTGGGAAATTAGCTTGGACTCAGAGTTGTATTGCCGTGCAGAGTACTGTACCTTCGCTATTGCCAAAGACACCCTCCCCCCACAAATCATCACCTGTTTTCTTTTACTCCAGTATCTTCAACTGAACTCCATTGTTTCTTCATGTCTTGAGCCTTCAACCCAATCCAGATATATTTGGTGTCTTTCTCTTTATTGTCTATAAATTCCTGTGGAACAAGTAGAAGCATGTTACCCAACAGCAGAGCTTTTCTCCTGTGCTCAGGTCACTGTCCTGTCTCAGGCACAGCTTTTCGTGTAGTCCCTCACATGGAGAGCAAGGGCAGGGATCCAGCCGTGGCAAAGCAGCCCATTACAATGGCCCATACACCTGTGACCAGCCACAGAGTTCAATTCAGGCTGGTGCTCAGGCTGACTAGCTTCCCCGTCAGCTGTCAAAAAACCCCTCAGTGATGCTTCTCACCCTAATGAGCCAGGTTGCAAAGCCTGGTCTTTAAGGTAAAAGACCTGTTCCTCAGGGAATGATGAGTTTCTCAGAAGAGCCATTCGGTGATACCTTGCTATTTGTTTTCCCAATGGAAAATGAGGAGGAGGTTTGGCTGTTTGAATTTCCATTTAGTGGTTGAATCAGACGTCTCTTCCCAGAACCAAGTGGTAGAAATGGGTGGGAATTCCTCAGCATTTCCTTCTCCCAGTCAAAACTACTCTGGCTTCCACACTTAGAATCATAGAATGGTTTGGGTTGCAAGGGACCTTAAAGATCATCTAGTCCAACTCCCCTGCCATGGGCAGGGACACCTTCCACTAGACCAGGTTGCTCAAAGCCCCATCCAGGCTGGCCTTGAACACTTCCAGGGATGGGGCAGCCACAGCTTCTCTGGGCAACCTGTTCCAGTGCCTCACCACCCTCACAGTGAAGAATTTCTTCCTGACATCTAACCTAAATCTACCTTCTTTCAGTTTAAAACTGTGACCCCTTGTCCTATCACTACACTCCCTGTTAAGGAGTCCCTCCCCATCTTTCCTGTAGGCCCCCTTTAAGTACTGGAAGGCCACTACAAGGTCTCCCTGGAGCCTTCTCTTCTCCGGGCTGAAGACCCTCAACTCTCTGAGCCTGTCCTCATAGAAGAGGTGCTCCAGCCCCCTGATCATCTTCGTGGTTCTCCTCTGGACCCTCTCCAACAGGTCCATGTCCTTCTTACGTTGGGGGCCCCAGAGCTGAACACAGTACTGCAGGTGGGGTCTCATGAGAGTGGAGTAGAGGGGGAGAATCCCCTCCCTCATCCTGCTGGCCACACTTCTTTTGATGCAGCCCAGAATACGGTTGGCTTTCTGGGCTGCGAGCGCACATTGCTGGCTCTTGCATCTCTTGTGCTTCTCCTCTTCAGCTCTACTGTGTTGACGGTCTCAAAACAAGATCCTGCCTGTGGAGGGTCAGATGCTCTGCACTGGATGGGGCTCTTGCCTGCCTGCACACTTGACATCTGGGCTATGTTCACTTAAAGAAACATCTGGCTAAGGCAAATGCCTGTCACACAATTTTAGGGCTGCTGCAAGACTCACCATCTCAATTTCATCTTCAATGACAAGAAGCTGGGATTTCCTGGCCAGACAGTTTCTCTGGCTGTCATCCCAGCTTACAGCATCCTCGGAGAAGTAGTAACATCTTCCCCTGTGTAGTTGCCACCCGGGAGGACAGAGCTCACATGTTGTTCCTGTGGGTGGAGAGAGGGAATCGTTAGCTCGTACGGTGACTTGTTCCAGCTGCGTTGTAGCGTTTTACATTCACGTGCCTGGCTGGCTGGTCCAAAAGCAGCCAGTCCCCACTCGCAAGCATGGGTTCGCTGGGTGCAGAGAGAGGTTTGAAGGCTCTGGTGCCACTCTCCTCCTCAGTTTCCCACTCCCTTGCCACGGTGCTATGCGCTTCTGCACTCCCACCGCCCAGCATCGGGCTCCCCACGTCCCTGTGCAGCTGCCCAGTGGAGAGCACCGGGAGGACCGAGATGGCTGCAAAGACACTTTTGGTCCTCCCACATGCAACCCTTGTGAGGAGACACTGTGCAATGTGACGTGATGTGCAGTGTGTGGATTGGACGCATGACGTAACCGGAAAGCACAGGCACTTAGATGATGTCCAAACTAGGGAGCTGGAGAAGGAACTGTGTTAAATAAGGGGAACACTGCTGTTCCCAGGTCTACTTTCCATTTCACGCAGAACATCTGGGTGGAATGTCCCCCACATTTTCTGTCTTGGCTTACTCTAATGTTTCAAAGTAACGTCATTACAATCAGTCCTTAGAAAAGCATTAGCATTTGCCAACAAATAATAGATCCACAATAAAAAGACCAGGAAGGTCTTCCCCTGTCTGATCCTTGTCAAAGGATAGGAAAGCTAAATTCCCTCCCACTATTTGTGAACAATTATTGTCTGGAAAGTGTTCTCCAGGACAAGGGGAGGATCTACGATATATGGCATTTCTGACAGCAGCTCCTGGCCAAAAGAAATGTAAAGAAAGTACCGCAACTATTTATACCAGAAGAGGAGCAAAACTATTGTCATTAAAATGTTAGTTTAGATCCCATCATCACTTCTATGCAGTAACACCATGCTCCCTGGGTAGTACCAGTGAGTTCCCATAAACTGCAGGATGTCACAGAAAAGGGAACAGAGACAACAGAAGTGCGCCCACAACATGACCTCCGTGCTGTGAGAGGACTAACTTTCCTCACCCTTTCCATCTTCACACAGTTCCTCCATGAGCTGTTTCAGGAGCACTGCCGAGACAGTCTTCTCTGAAAAAATGTCATTGCCAGTGCTATTGAGACCATACTGGGACAAACCTTCTGACTTTCCTGCTCCGTCCTTCAAAACTTGGGGGGGAAAAAAAAAAAAAGAGGTTATGGTTAACAACAGGGCCAAGGAAATGTAGTCTTTATAGCCAGTGTTATACTCTGTGTGAGGAGATGTGTGTGTATACATTGCAGGGGTATACACATTCAGTTGTGGCCATACTCAATGAGTGTAACTGTCTGGCAAAGGGTGTAGTTGCTGAATAATACAGACAGTACAGGAAAAGAAAATAAGCTTGTCATTTTTGATCATTGGATATATACAGAATATGTAATATTTTGATGAAATTTCAGGGAGGGTTGGGAGGTATGTATTTTTTCTGAAGTTTTTCAAGACGTTTCTCTCAGGAAATGAGTATCTTCTCTGGAACAGTTCTTGTATAATTGGAACATGCTGTGGATTATGATACTACTAGCACCAGGGAAGTCTGATTAAATGAAATGATCTGAAGTCCCATTTTTATTTTATTTGTTCAAACCTACAAAGTAATTAAGTTAAATGGTCTCAAAGTAGCATCATGGATACAACTTTTAACTTGTAAGTCAGGAAGGCCAAGTGTTTTGATTGTCATAATGATTTGAAATCTGCTTCTACAGCCTTTCAGCATCACTGATGACAAGGTAGACTGCAGCAGCTCCCCTTCATCCGCGCTATATATGTTAAATGACAGGCAGCGAACGTTCCCTTTGGAATGCTACATTTATTTTCCTGTATTTGTGTATAACTTGACACTTTTAACGTGACACTAAGGGAATTTTTCTTTTGGCATCCCTCTGCTTGTGAGGTTTAACGATGTCTGCGACAAAGAGATGAAGCGGGTGGTGGGATCTACTCACATCGCGTGGCTAGTACGGCTGTGGTGCCTAGCAGGGCGAGCACAAGGACTCCCAGGACCAGCGCCACGTAGAACCAGGCTGAGCACCCGTGTCGGCAGCCTGGAGGGAGGCAGGAGGAAGAGCAGCTTAAGGTCTTTGCACTATTAAAATTAACAGTGCCTTTATGTATGCCAGTTTCTTAGGTGGAAACAACAGAGTAATCATCTGCCTAAAATCAGTCTGCTGTTTGAAGTATGCTGAAAATTTGCATCCATTTTGCATACATGAAAATGAAGTTGAAAGATCATTTTCTCAGCTAGAGCAAGTGATTTTCAGTCAATCATTCCATTAAGAATTCTCCCTTTCTCCTTTAATATTTTCAAGCGTTACCTCCTCCCACCCATCCACCCAGACCCTGCAAGACCCTGCAGAGCAATTCAGGGGGAGCAGCAGGGACGGTCTGTGGTACGTTCCTCCTCTCTGGTCACACTCTCCTGTGTTAATGTGCTAACTTGCCTGAACGCACAGAAAAGGCAAAAAATCCCATACTGACACCATAGCACAGTGACGTACATCTGGCCAAGCACCTCTCCAGCCGTTTGGCATTCATCAGCCTGTGAGAGTGACTCAGGAAGAGGCAGGACCCGAGGAAATTTGGGGTCAGGGTGCCATTTCCACAAGCCACGGAGTTGCACTTTCATAACTGCTGTTTTCCTGACCTTGCCTGCATGAGGTGAGCAACTGCTCCATTCTCCGGCTGCCTGAGATATATTTTGTAATGTTCCCTTTCAGCTCACAAAGTTCTGTGGGCCTGACCTTGTCTGGCACATGTCCTTCAATACGGGGAGAGTGGCAATCATCAGTGCACAAACTGCAAATAAAGAGCTGGGTATTACGCTACTTCCAAAGCCAAGTGTGTCCCTGTGACTGTTCCTGCAGAGACGCCTACAGGAGGGTTCCTAAAAAAATGTGGAATTTTACTTTCCTTTGCTAAATTTTCAGTGTAGGGCACAAAGGCATTTTTAAAAATTATTTTAAAAATCTCTTTCAATGTTATTTTTACAAGGAAAGTGTATAATCTGAGAACCCAGTGAAAAAACATATGGAGTGATACATCAGTTCTTTATTGAGAGATTGTACATACTGACTCCTGATAACAGGTTTTACTGTTGGGTAATAGGAAAGACTAAATCTATAATTAGTAACCAACAATCAAACAAAATAGCACGCTACCAGAAGCGGAAATCTCTGATCTGCTGTTCCCGTTGGGTTTCGGCTTCACGCGCAGCTCAGCGTACGTGATCATGTTTCCTGTAAGAAGTAGGGAAATGCTGACATTTGTGGTTGTGCAAGCCATTAAGTGGAGAAACAATAAAGAATTACACAGAAGACCGAGTCTGTATAAAAAGGGGCATGTGTTTCCAGAGCTGCTAGTTCAGCTTTTTTTTTCTTTTTTAAGAAACAGCAGGCAAGATGATGACTTATCATTTCCTGCTGCTGTCAGGAAGTAACTAAAAGCCTCCTCCATAATCTTTGGCTGAACTACTTGGGTCCTGTGTGGCTGGACCAGGAGGCAGGCAGATAGACTGAAGGATGGGTAAGACCTGGGTACTATCTGTAGCAAACCTCTCGTTTGTTGCTAAGCCATCTCAGGAGGTTTCACAGGGGCTTAAGGGGCATCAGAGCCGTGACCTCTTTGTGGAGCAGGGAGATGATTCTCGGGGGCATTCCTCTTATGTCAGTGTCTATGCCAGGGTATTACATGATGCCTGTAATAGCAGAGGAATGGATCTGATGGCTGAAGACATCCCTTTGCAGAGGCACGTTGCCAAAACAAAACAGAAAAGCCATTAAAATAGCATGGTGTGAGTTAGATGCGCATGGATCCTTTCTGAACATATTTTCAATTTTGTTTCTGCGGGGTATTTTGTAGAGCTGCTGGCTGGTTGTAGGAAAGATATTTGGACCTTTGGTTGACTGATCTTCTTTCCATAAACGGTGAGATTTTATCAATCTGAATCAAGAATAAGCTTCTGTGCTACAGCCTTAGTTTGTGATCGCTGGGGCTTTTAAAAAGAAGCAATTTATGTTGTATAAAATCTCACTGATCAGGGGAAAACTTGGCAGAAGAAGAGAGTGTCATTAGGCTAAAATGAGGTAGCATTTGATATAAGAATTGCTGAAATGTGGGAGGTTTTACGGTAAGAAAAATACTGAGGACCTAACTGGCAGTTAAGGTTTATTTATACAGGTAAGATGTTCTGTGCTTTAGAGAACCTGACATAATGCACTTTGCTGTTTGTTTTATTATAATTTATTAGTTCAATGAACTACAGAAAATTTGTGAAATATGTTTATCTGTATAGATGAGTAACTGTTCACAAAAAGAAATGCCCATAAGAGTTTTTCTTCTTAGAATGTAAATATTTTTCAAAGAAGAACAGTCAGGACTTTTAAACTTTTAAATGCACTAGCTCTATAAATGGAGACACTTCTTCTAAAATACTTACTTTAGAAAATCTGCTACTATTATTAAATATTTTCTCTCTCAATAAAGGTCCAGTCCGTTAAAGAATTTCTCTCAGACTGTATGAAAAAAAAATGTATTATCCCCTCAAGTTGAATATTAAAAAAAAAAGATTACTTCTATTACAGTGTGTATTGGTGCGTGATCATTTGAATATGAAGTCCTCAGAATTCAGCAAGTGGCTCTAAAATACCACGTAACCTTAATTTTGCCGGATGCTTATGTACCCTCACCTAGTTTAGCAACAAGGAGCCCTGTTACTAGACGGAGATCTCTGACACTTACTAAAACTGAAATTTCACTTCATTTCTGTATGCAAATTGTCAAGTGCAGAAAGACACCTCTGTTTTCCAGAAGCTTCTGCTTGGTGAATGTGCAGACAGGGAGTTCTTCTGGCAGGTGATGCCCTCCAAAGAGTCAGGCTTTACAGCCATCGGGCTCTTGCGATCAACTAGACGCCAGGTTGAGCGTGAGCCCATGGTGCACCCTCATCATCACAGCCCACGCAAGCTGCGTCAGGAGAGCCGTGGCCTGCAGAGCAGGGGAAGTTCCTGTGCTTCTCCACTTGCTGCTGCTCCGGCCACCCCTGGAACACGGTGTCCAGATGCAGGCCACCCCATTCAGGGGGGATTGGGGGAAGCTGGAGAGGGTCCAGCAAAGGGTGGAGCTGGTCAGGACCTGGAGGGGCCGAGGAGGCTAAGGAGGGGAACACGAAGCTAAGGGGAGAACTAATGCTAGCCTACAACTACTTGTAGGCAGGTTTGATGATGGAGTTGAACTCTTTTTGGTTTGGTTTTTTTTTGCTAGAGGAAAGGTCTCCTATTTAATCATTTATGAACCACGACCAGGTGACTCTCAAATTATTCTTGAGTAAACTAGGAAGTGAAAACTGTCTGAGCCTTTCATTAGAAAATAGATTTCCGGGCTTTATTTATCCTTGCTTCTATTTTTGGAACACTTTTCTACTTTTCAACATCTGTTCTGAAGCATATGCACCATAATAGCACCTGCTAGCCCACCAAAGCTTGTGCACAGATAGTACCACCTACTAACTCCTCCTCAACATGCTCTGCTAGAGCATCCAAGAGTCACCTTGTAATTCAGAGCACCCAAGTAGCAGCTGAAGTCCAACTGATTGTGTAACAACCTGGTATTGACTTTCCCGTTGGAACAGGATCACAACAAATCCCTTTAAATCACTTTTCTGGGTGCAGCCTCCCAAACTTACAGCTGCAGACATTTTCTATAGCTACGTTGTGTTAAACATTATTTAACAGTTTGTCCAGTCTATCAAGTCTATCACAATAGTTTTCAATGAGTGAACTTTCCTTATCATTAGACTGCAAACTTATAATGCATTCTTTGCAGCTGTGCCACCAGTGATTTTTATATCTTTTTCTTTATCCTCATAAAAGACATTGAACAGATTTTGAGATAAGAACAGTTATTTGGGACAAGTCCAAGAAACTCTGCATGATTTGACCAAGCCAAATCCCTTTCTTGTGGATGAGGAAAAGCTAAAAAAAAGACGTGGGCGCTGGATCTGTAAAGGGACTTTCATTCTCAAATCCAAATTTTACATATTTAAAACACCTACTCAACTTCTAGAGAACCTTGGCAGAAGTTCAGCTCCCCGCATGTTTACCTTTCGTGTGCACCAGATCTTAACAGCAGCTATACTTCAGCAGGGCAAATTACCTATGCCCCCCACTCATGTGTTTTAGTATCTACTCCAGTAAATTGCATCTAATGGTCTGAAAGTTGCACAAAATGCAGCCAGGAGGAGGTGGGCATGTTCCACTTTCCCATAGACTAGTGATTTGAAGTCATGCCTAAAGTCTGGGAATCTGCCACTCACAGCATTCATCTGGGGAATTTGCAGTGGTGATTAAATCCAGCTCTCCCTCCTCCGTAGTGAGAGTTTTAACCATGCAGTGGTTTCCATCATGCCCATCTTGAAGCTATTCTTTTTCTGCAAGATAGTCGGGCATCCCTGGCCAACAGCATGACAGTATAAAATCTGGCAAAGGGAGGGATGTGGCTACTAGCCATCCTCCAGCCGACGTTTCACAGCGTCGGGATAGTGCCAAAGGGAGAGCTAGTGATGCTTGCCACAGAGAGTCCCATCACCTTGGAGCTGAGACCCTCACTTTGAGAATCAGCTTCGAACTCCTGCTCCAAACTGGAGGAAGCCTTGAAACCTCTTCCTGTAGAGTGGGACATGCTGTAAGTGTGTTTGGTAGGCAGAAGCTGTCCTGTCCGAAGCAGCCTTGAGCCCAGTCCATGTAGGAGAGAGCTCCTTCTAGCTTGCCGAGAAGAATCTAACTCCCAGAAACAGCTGACCGAGCAGCACCTTGTGTCATTGCTCTGTCCTATTAGATACTTTGGGCAGTTCCTAGCTCACCATGCTAGGATCCCACACTCTCCTCCATTCGCTGTAAAGAAATGCAGGGCATCTCAGCGAGGGTCCACTCTGCAGTGGGGAACCTTGACACTAAGCGTTGCTATACTTACACTGAACTTAAGTCTGTTTCTGCTCAACGTGGCCATCACATTTCAGGATTTTTTTCCTGAATTTCCTACCAAGTTCTTAAAAATTACAGAACTAATTCTGTGGAAAAATTGCATATTCTCCCATTCTTCCTATGGTAAAATTGATTCCTTACTTTTTGAAGAATTTCTTGTAATAGAAGAACACTCACTAGCTGGGTGAGTATGTATGAATTTTGGTCAAAGCATTAACACTTCAAGGAAGGAACAAGCAACTGAAATTGTTCATTTCAATTTTTAAAGCATGGTAATATGGCTCAAGTTCTTGTCTATTTTAATAGCAATAAAACCCATGTTAGTATATGTTAATGATGAAGACAGAGAAATAATTGTCATCAGGGAGATACTTCTAGCAGGTTCTATACTGATATGAGGTCCAATATTGCTTAATACTTATTTGGTGCTTTTTCCATTTGTGTCAAAGTAAGTGGAAAATAATTGCTGATAAAATCTGGAAACAACAGAAAGGTTAACGAAACAATAAATAGACAGCCATAATGACAGCCCTGTAAGTTCAAACCCAGTCAAACAAAAGGTGTTTGAGTACAACCAGATATAAGGGTGGGGGAAAGTAATACTGGGAGTTATAAACAGTGAAGGAAAGATTATTTAAGAGATTTTTGTCTCTGTATAATTGAGACAGCATAACTGAGACTTATAGTAATACTGGGTGCATCTCTGGTGCCCATAGTTTTTAAAGGAGATGGAAACACTGGAGAATGAAGAGAAAAACATCCACAAAAATAATTAGAGTTCTTCGGAAAGTTAGAGTGAAAGATTTAAAGGCAAAAGGATACTGCGGCTAGTAACTTCATGTGAGAAAATACTGAGTGCTAAAATCTGTTTGACAAAGGTTTAACAAGAACCATCTAGATGTTAATGAGAACTTTCATTGGAAATTAAAGCCTGGCCTATTCGAATTCAACTTTTCCTTTAGACAGCATGATCAAGGAACATTTTTGGATGTGTTCAAATCAAGATTTGATGTCTGTCTCCCTTTGCAAATAAATTATATCACCTTAGAAACTGGGTAAAATTCCAGGCAAACCCTCTGTGCTTTGTGTTCTACAAGTTACAGTAGTACAAACAACATCCATTGATGCATGAACGTGCAGTCTAAGGTAGTATTTTCTGTTAGATATATAAGAAAGTGAGATAATTTTTATGTTTTAGATACAGGTCTTGTAAAAACATAAAAAAAATATTTTTTTCCATCATTTAAGTACATGCATTCAGAGCACCATCGTCACTATTAATCTACATTGTAAGTAGAGCATCTTCTAAAAATGCTCATTACACAACATTGTTTCCATAGGTAATTAAATACATTAATTACTAATGAACCTTGAAACCATGAAAATATCATCTTACTCTGACCACAAGCATTTCCTATTTGCTCATAGTAAGAAGTTGTCATTCATATTACCTGTGACCCAGAATTTTAACAAAATACTTTCATAAATGAATTACATTTTTTTCCAAGTAGGGGAAATTTTGTTTCTGAAAAAAAAATTATTTTAAATCATCTCCTTACACTGAATATGGACTTAATTCTTTGTCTTTTCTTACAAATACATGAAGCGATCACAGACTGGTAATGTGGTTCTGGGAAAATCACTACTGGAAAATTAAAGAGGAAGAGCAGGAAGGTTTTAGGAGTCATTCAGTACTTCCTTCAGTGACAGTGACTGCACTTTCAACCACTACCAGTTTTCTGATTTACTAGTTAATTTACTACTCTTTTTCCATGAATACATCATAAAATGCATTGATCTGATTTTTGGACTAGGTAGTAATTTGGTGAAGCCTATTCTGACAGATTTTTTGATCATGTTGTTCATATAAAAGAAAGATTATGCTCGTTCAAAAATGAACAGTTTTTGTTTCTCATTCTGTTACTTAAAACAAGGGGCTAGAACTGAGACACTACTCCATAGTGATACTGACTTAGGAGTAGCTTTGCTGATTTGTATCTCGTGAGGAACTCTTGCACCATTTGCAACTTCTCACCCTTCCCGTGACTTCTGCATGCAGCATTTTATAGCAACCTTCTAGTATTATCCAGTGAAAATTTTTAAAATGAAAGAGAGTGAGAGAAAGAGCACAAGAGAGAAAACAGTGTATGCCCAAGTGCTGGTTAGATGTTTTACCTGGAACTGAAGTCCGAGAAGGAACGTGTGATCTTTCCCTCGGTAGCATTGCCACGTCCGCATATGTGATATCACCTGCCATTGATGAGCAAGTCCCTCTGAGTTATGGAAAGAGCTGGTTTAATACAGTGGGTTGCATCCTGTATTAGCTTTGCCTGCCTCCAGAAGTATACATACGCTGTGCTATGGCTTTGAGGAAGGCTGAGAAACAGATAAAAGGAAGGAAGTTACTTCTTTCAATACAGCTTCAAAGCCTATTTTCAGCCACCATTCTGTCTCTTCTTGTGTGATCTCTTGCCCTTCAGAACACAGGAGAAAATGAAGATTAAAAAACATTCTTTTTGTTAATATAAAAAAAATTCTTTTTGGCCAAAGAGAGCAAAGTTTCCAAGGAATACCCCAAAATGGACTTACACAAGTACAAAAGCCTTGCTGGTTCTCATGAGAATAGCTAAAGCACTATGATCTGTGTTGTGGATGTATTATGCTCATGTGCATGACCTTACACAGCCTATCCACTTTAAAGGAAGATAATCAAGGTATATATCGGTACAAGATGTTTTTGAGCTAATGTAACTGTAACCCCACTTAGAGCTATAAAAATGTAACTGAAATTCTAACCTGCTCCATCGACCAAGTACTATAATGGTTTAACAACTGAATTTAGATTATATTAATGATGCATTAAATTTAACTCAGAATAAAATTAAAAGTAATGTGATCAATGCCTTTTAAGTGAATGTTTCAATACTTCACTGTAACAGTAGTTAGGAGGACCAGCGCTGCTGTTTCTAAATTGCTTGAGCTATTCCCTGCTTGACCCAGCAACTCCACAGGCAGAAAGCCTGAGTTGCCTTTAACTCTTTGTTCATGGCCCACGTGTTTGCTGCAGGATATTTTGATGACAGTGGTTTTGTCTTCTATTTTGGAAAAAAAAAGAAAAAAAAAAAAAAAGCCCCACAGATTTGAATTGAAACTTAAAGCCCTTCCAAAACCTAAAAATACTTTTCAGAATGCACAGACATGAAGTCCTGTGCATGCAGAGTCCTGACATTTCCTGCTAAGAGCTATGCTATTGGTTTTGTGCTTTATTCACACTTTTAGAAAATTCCTTTAGAGTTCCACACAGATATGGTTTACAAATCTAAATTGTCAATTGAAGATAATGTTTCTGTTCTGTGATATAGCCTCTTTGCCTTTTCTGTCTACAAGACTACAACACTCTAGATTAAAATGAAAAAAAGTTTGGTTTTGTGATCTTATATTACTGATCTTTTCCCTTCCTACTTTCAACATTGGTAACAGTGTTCAGTGCAAAACAAAAAGGTTTAGGGAAAAAAAAATGAACCTTTGATAGTCTTGGAACAGATTACTCAGAAGTGTCGCTCAGGTACAATTTATATGCAACATATCTAAATCATTGTTGCTCTATCATCAGCCACAAAGTGATCAGTATGCAGATGTGGATACTGTTAACTGGATACTGATAAGGTGTGTTTCATTGCAACCTACATACCAGCAATATGACTGGTCCTAATGTGAAACAAAACGTTTGTCCTCTGATTGAATCAGTTTCCATTGCTTCCCCTTGAACTTCTCACCATCCTTTACAGCAGGATATTTAGGCTCTGAAATGAAAAAAAAAAAAAACAAAAAACCAACAACAAAAAAAACCCAACCAAACCCCACTTCCCTTATTTGTTTTTTTTTTAAAACTTTAGTCCATTAAGGAGAGCTAGAAGGCCAAACGGGTTGCTTGAACTCTCAGTCTCTCTTTCCATCACTGCATATACACCTAAGCAGTCTTTTTTCACATCACTCCTTCCTAAATGATTCAAACCCATCAAGATGTAATCATGTATAGTTGGTGTAAGCATGGGTCTTTTTGAGCTAGTGGAAAAAAACACTGTTTCTATTTTAAGGGAACATGTCTCTCCTCTCCTCTCCTCTCCTCTCCCCTCCTCTCCTCTCTCTCCTCTGAAAAACACATTTCCAGACACAAGAGCAATCTCAGTAAGTGTGCAGTGCAGACCAGGCAATTACATCCTTTGTGAGCTAGGAGATTCTTATTTGCCTGAAGAAAATGATGACCTCATGCAGTTATTTTCCAGATCAAACTTACAAAATAGCCATAAGCGGTTGTGGTTCTCATTTTGGATTTGAAATCTACATGCTGTGCTCCCTGTAAGGACTGATAATGAAAAGGAAGGTAACTTTTAATTTCTAGAAGGAATAGGCGAGTAGAAGCCTTTGCAAGACGTTTTTCTTGAATTCTCTCTATCCTACTGGAAAACTATGATTTTTTTCTTACTTTTAAAATGGATGTTGCACTGCTACAGAATTTTTATTTGGTAAGTATTTTCTTTAGTGTTTATAATTTTAGGTCTGTAAGCATTTTCATTATTTTCTTTGCTTTCATTTTAAATTCTAGCTTTATTTATGAATACCCAGATGTGGGTCACCAAGGCTGACCCACTGATCTCTCAGCGCCAATAGCACTTTCAGAAGAAAAAAATCCAGGCTGTTGTAGGAAAAGGCCATTGAAGAACAAAGAGAAATTTGTTAGCAAAACGACCTGCTGGTTGTAAAGATGATGGGAAGCCCCCTCTTTCCTGCCCATGTGTCTGGGCATGGCAGTTCCACTCAGATCAACGAGTCAGTTCTCCAGGGCTGAGCAGTATTGCCAGCCTGCGTACCGTAGGATCGTGGAGTCATCTGGGGAGAAAGGGAGCTCTGGAGGCCTCTAGTCCAAGCCCTGCTCAAAGCAGGGCTGATTCCACAGCTAGCCCAGGTTGCTCAGGGCTTTCTCCAGGCAGGTTTTGGAAATCTCCGTGGACAGACATCCCATGGCCTCCCTGGGCACCTCTTGCAGTGCTGTACCACTCTCATGAAGGGCGAAAATTTTTCCTTCTGCCTGGTCACAATCTGTGGGCTGCAACTTGTACCCATTGCTTCTTGTCCTTTTGCTGTGCTCCTTTGAGAATAGACTGCCTCTGGCTTCTCCATAACCCTCTTCTTGAATGTGATCTAACAGAATATTTCAGGGATGCTAACAGGCTAAAGTTAAATTTTATAAAGCAAGCCTCTTTCACTATGTTCCATGTGTTTTAAAATAAATTGTTGGCTTTTCTCGTAAATTCTGCTAAACGGAGTTCTTTTGATTTCTTTAGACAGTGTCACAGCTGCACTTTTATGATATGAGTATCTCCAGAATATGAACACGCCTTTTGCTTGTGACAACGCGCCTGGTTCAGCCTTGTCATTCCCCCACTGTCATCTTTTCACATTTAGATGTCATAGTCTTTTTGCTTTGTTACTCCTGGGGAAAAAAGTCACCCAAATATCAAAATGCTTCTTCACAAGCTGTAATGTGGGTTGGTTATTCATGTGGCTTAACTTCTCCCAGGATCCAGAATCACCTCCTGTCTTTTGGATTCACCAGGTAGAGCCTTGCCTCACCCCCTTCTTTCCTCTCAGCCACCTGAGCAGTACACTTAGCTTACAGTAGACGAACACTGGTGAGGCCAGTAAAACAGCAGGGCTTGCTGTGTATCAGTCAGCCACATGTCAGGGACGGGGGAGTGATATTTTAGCCTTGAGTGCTCAGACTGTTTGCCAGAGCATGGAGATAGCTGGTGGTTCAGACTGTCTCGCAGCATCTGCAAGGAAAGATGGTGGGGTTGTTGTGTAGGATTCCTCTGCACATCATTTAGAGTTTGGCAGTCAGGAGCTTCAGTAGCTCTGTTGAGGTAGGCAAATGAATACGAGCTCACGTTCTTCCCCTTCTTGGCATGTGCTCCTGACGATTGCACATGGAGTCTCCACTTCTAACCATCATGCCTGAGTAACGTCGCTTAGTAATGTCCTGGTGTTAGCACAGTTACCAGTTCCAGTCATGCACAGAGTAAATGTGATAACAACTGCAGATGACACCCCTTCTGTGGGTGTGACAGTGTGTCCTTCATTGCGTGCAAAGGCAAAAGTAGACTGAAAATAGTGACGTGGGCTGCAAAGCAGAATTCAGCACCTTCTGCCACAGAACAGGCAGCTCAGCCCAGGGCTCCAGCTGCCTCGTGGTGCACATTTTGAAGAACTTGAACTGCTGCTCTGACAACAAAATGGACCTTCCCACTACCCGAAGGCTGAGCTGCAACACAGAGACTTCCAAGCTAAACCGAGTGCATCCCATGAGTAAATTTCCAGTTTGGGTTTCGATTCTAAACCCCGTGTCGTACAATGAGGTGCAGGAGCAGCACCCAGAAGAAATTATCAGAGCTAGGGCTACAACCAAAGACACTTCCTGCCATAAATGAAAGTCTGTTATCCCACACTACAGCAAAAAAGATGTCACCTAAACAGACCAAACCCATGAATTTACCAAGAAAAGAAAAAAAAAAACAACCAACCCAGAGCTCAGTGAACCAGCAGTGCCTGCTGACTGCAAGCTGAATATTGCCATGTTGGCAGCTTCATGTTCAGCAGGTAAGACTTGGAGTAGGTGGGAAGCAAACAGCGTTAGAAGCCTGTAAGATGGATTTCTTGCCTATGCAGGGTTTTGAGGCATTTTGGGGCATGTACAGTCTTTTTGAACTTCAGGTAAGTTCCCAAAGGTGTTGCTGTGCAGATTATTTATTCTGAGCACCACGTGTTCCCTTGGATGCATTTTTCAATGCCAAGCAGTGGTGGGGTGAATATGTGGGTGGGAGAATGTGCTCAGTCTCCTGAGCAGTTTGGTGATGGCATGTCAAGAAGGAGCTGGTGAACACCCCTTCCATATTGCTTCTCTCCTTTCCTGCACTCTCGCTTACTGAGTTAGTTTTCCTTCAAAGGATTGAAGCAGTGAGCCTGCTGGGACCAATTCCACAGGTAGCATGTTCTTGGTGATGTTATAAGGTATGTTCTGGTCTTCTGGAACCCTGTATCTGTGACTTGGAGAATGGCTGGTGGGGAAAAAGTGGTGTATCTCTCTGCAGACCGTACGTCTACATAACAGCACCTACTGTTTTGGACAAGAGGAGTCTCTGCAAGGTGGGACATAGCAGAGGTGCTGGTACAGTTGCAGTTCACCTCGGTGTGATCACAGCACTGCAGCGGAGCGAACACGTCCTGGTTTGATGGAAATACACCGTAACGCAGTGTGCCGGATACGTCCCTACAGCACAGTGCAGCACTGCACCATGTGGACTTACAGCTTGAAGTCTTATTTGTTTAGGCCTTCCACAATGTGCTCTGTTCTGCCATACAGACACAGCCTGCCTTCCTTCAGGTCTAGCAGAACTCCTGTGTCTGACCCTCATCTATGATAAAGTGTTGACTTTTGGGTAGTATTTTGACCTCTGGGTCTGAGCGCACTTAGCAAAGAAGGGCATGTCACTATTCCCAGGATGCAGTTGAAGGGCAAAAGTACAAGGACTTGCCCAAGCTCATGCAGCAGGCCAGTGGCAGGGGCTGGAAGACTGCTTAGCGCTCCTGTCCCTCAGCACAGCCCCCTTTTCAGTAGGCCAGGCTGATTATTGATGCATCATGTATTTGCAGGTTGTTGTTTCACAAACTCTAAGACCTGAATCCAGATACATCAGTTTCCTTCTTCCCATGTATTCTAGAGCTCTTTCTGTAAATGCACTCACATGTAGAGCTAGACGTTCTTTGGCATTTAATGTATTTATTTACTGTCACAGTGCTTTTGGGCAATAATTTTCTTTCTGCTTATGAAATTGGAAGCAAAGCTGTTGTAAAAGCCTGAGCATCTATGAATTGTGTGGATTGAATGGATGAAAGGTGGCTACATCACACACAGCTTACAATTCTTCCAGAAGATATTAGAATTAATACACATTGAGCAGCTTTACAAACATTTTAGATTAGCCACTGAGCTACAATTAATTTAATATTCCTAATATCTGCAGATGATAGGGACAAAGTATCTATAAGCAGTAACAGCATTTTTGAATCACAATATGCACAGTGTCAGTGATGTATATGCTAACCTTCCCCAGACTGCAGCAATGAGCAAGACTGTACGGGAGCATCTCACCTAAGTCTAGTGAGTTAAGCCTTGGTTAGAGTAACTGTCTTAATGCCTCCTGCAGTTAAGCATCTTGGAAGTCCAGGAGGAGATTTACCATATTCTAATTTTGTGTCCTTATCCGAGCCCCCTGGAACTGCCTCTCTCTCCATCAGCTACAAAGACAGAATCAGCTTACAATATAAATTCAAAGGTAGGACAGATGAGCTTTTCCCCCCTCTGCAAGTATCTCTGGATATGCTGCAATCGTTAAGGCAGAGATCTGGAACTGAGATGAGATCTGACTGGGATGGGACAGTTCTGTACCAGCAAACCAGGAAATGGGCTACTAGTGCTTAAAAATCTCTTAGAAAGAGTATAAAAGTGTATATACATATTTACATACATAACACATAATAGTATTAAGCCTAGAACAAACACCAGAACACAGAAAAAAGCCTGTGACTAGATATCTGAACACAGGAAACAAGCACCATATGCCATGCAGTAAAACACGCTGAGCAATGAATAAGCAGTGTGCCCTTATGGCAAGGAAAGCTAAGTGCATAAGGAAAAGCTGCACTGGCAAAAAA